ATATTAGCATGAACCTTGGCCTCTACCTACTAGAAACTAGTAGCACTTGAATTGTGACAACCAAAACAAGGCTCTAGACATTGCCAAATGTCCCCTGGTGGGGAGGGAGAAAATCACCTCCTAATGAGAAGCACTGCTGTGGATTCAGAGAACCAACATCCTCGAGAGCACGTGAGTGCCCGAGATTGACCTAAAGACCCGCATGCATGGACTAGAGTGAGCTAGCCACGGGACTGAGGGACAAGCCAGTCGCGTCAACTTTTCCATCCTGGCCCATCTAGTCTTCAACCGAGGAACCTGCAGGAGAAATTCTCCTTTCTGACCACTCCTTCCTGCTTTAATGAACTTGCTGGAATATTTCTACTCTTTCTGGGGACACAGTTGTAGGCTTCAATATATTAGTGGTAACAAGGAAGAGTAATTGCTCAATTGTTCAATATCAATTTGAGACTGATAAAATGGCAACAAGCAGAGAGAGAGCAAAATGAGGGAGGGGGAATATCATCACTTAAGTGGTTATTATTGCAATTAGCCAAACTTTGCAACCATAAATCATCCCAACAGAAGGGTTCTGGGCTAGGACACGTGGAAAAGCGGACATTTGGCCCCATTTTAATAAAGCACTCCCAGTGAATTATAAGCGTGATTTCTGAAGCAATTTTAGCTCAACTTCTAAATCTCTAGAATTTGAAGAGTTCCTTCCAGACGTAAAGCCTTCCATTTGAGGCGGGCAGATATCAAATTGATGAGAGTCCAGAGTCTCCAAGAGCTTGGGCCATGTTGAGAAAAAGGGCACTCTTTGGACTTCCCAAATCCAGATGTTACATTTGCCAAATTAAAGCAGCAGTGGTCACCACGTTGGTCCACTTGCTCATTTCCTGGCATGAATAAATAGAGATCCAGAGGGGCGATACTTTTGCAGTGACAGATCACAGGTTATGGACACCAGCCTTGCCACTTTTGTCTTTTCAGGATTGAGATGCTGGGAATCCTACATAGAAAAAAAACACACACATAATTACGGCCCTTTCAGTTATGGGATGGCCAAATACCTAATTGCCTTCTTAGAAACAGCATCATTTAGGTAAGCTTTACATATCATAAAATTCATCCATTGTAAGTGTACAGTTCAATGATTTTTAATAAATTTATACAGTTGGGCAACCATCAGCTTGTCATTGCCTTTTTTCCCCAATTGTGGTAAAATATGCATAACAAAATTTTATCATCTTAACCATCTTTAAGTGTACTGTGCCGTGGTATTAAGAACATTCACATTGTTGTGCAATCTCCAGACCTCTTTTTGTCTTGCAAAACTCAAACTCCATACCCATTAAACAATAACTCCCCATTTCCCGCTCCACCCAGCCCCCAGCATCCACCCCTCTGCTTTCTGTCTCTATGGATTTGACTACCTTAGGTATCTCATATAAGTGGAATCATACAATATTTGTCTTTTTGTGAGTGGCTTATTTCTATTAGCATAATGCCCTCAGGTTCATCCATGTTGTAGCATGTGTCAGAATTTCTTTCATTTTTAAGGCTGAATAACATTCCATTATATGTACATACCACATTTTGTTTATCCATTCATCTGTTGCTGGACCCTTGGGTTGTTTCCACCTTTTGGCTGTTGTGAGCAATGCTATGAACATGGGTGTACAAATACCTTTCCATGTCCCTGCTTTCACTTCTGCTGGCTGTATGCCCAGAAGTGGAAATGCTGGATTAGATGGTAACTCTATGTTTAATTTTTTGAGGAACAGCCATATTGTTTTCCATAGTGGCTGCACTATTTTACAGTAATTGCCTTTTAATACTTTATTTTATATTCAGGCCCCCAAAGTCATTCACCATTGATTGGTTGATTGATTATTATTTATTGTGACTCTGTGTTCCATGGCTGTGTACTATGGCTAAGTGCTAGGGACACAGTAGTGACAGTGTTTGCCCTCGTGGAGCCTGAAGTACGGAAGACAAGCAATAAACGGATATATGATTAAATCTGTAATTATAAATTTTGAACTATGCTATAAAAGGAAAGAAGTGACTTCTAGAAGATCGACATTAATAGGCGAGACCTAATTTGAATGAGGAAAGGCCAGTTTTAGCAAGGAAAATTTGAACTGAGACTAGAGGCTTAGTAAGAGTGGGCCAGGTGAAGAGAGGCAAAGAGTAGAGAACGTTCCCTGCAGAATAGAGCAGAGGTGGAAAGAGTTAGAAGGTCTGAGTTCCATGGAGACCTAAACCCTTTAACCAGAAAGTTACTGAATTCACCCATTCAGCATGCATTTGTTAGTATCCCCAAGGTGCTGATGGGAACTCTGACCTTGTTTTCCCATCTATGAAATGGGAATAAAAAAGGATTTTAATCAGGATGAGATAGGATGATGTATCTCAAATATCCTTAAAAACAATAAAGCCTCAGTGTTCATAGACAACTTGCTGAAAGGTATAACAAGTGAATTTCTGACAATTTCTGCCTGGGGCACACAGCAAGAATGAGTGGATTATATAAACCCACCTAACACCTAACAAAGGCATTAAAAAATTTAATATCATCCTTTGCTCTGATCAGTTTTTTTTCTAACTCTGGTCCCACCCTGCTCTTTTGGTTGTTTAAGGAATATTAAATAATCAAAAAAATTACCTTTGATTAGGGCCTGGTCTTCTTCCCCACCACTCTCCATTCACCCCTCCCCATTGTTCTAGGGTCTTTCTTCACCTCCCGTTTACTAGCTCCCGGCTGCAGCTCATAAGTTGGAGGTAGATTCAAGACGTGTCCTGTATCTTTCTTTTCTTGATATGATATTCATGAAGATTTCCCTTTAAGGAAAACTTCTCTTTGACTTTATCTGTAGAATCTATTTCCACAGACCCTGGATTTTCCAGGACAGGCTGAATTTAACATATGTTTTCTTTGGCACATTATTTTCTTGTTTGGCTATTTTGTCTGTATCAGCTAGAGCTGGATGACAGGTATTGGGATGTGACAGGAAGAATTTTGGAGCCAGACTGAGGGACTGACCATCAGCTCAGCCACTTTCGAATTAAGTCACCTCAGCTCTTTGAGCCTCAGTTTCCTCATTTTCAAAATGGTCAAAACAATCCTGATCTTCCTGGGAAGATAAAATGAGGAAGTGTGCATTTCGTGCAGTCTGTGCCACATACCAGGGGCTTAATCAATTATTATTATCATCACTTGGAGACTCAAGTGGCACAATTTTACTAGCTTGTTCTAAGCAGAAATGGCGAACATGTTTTAACTATCACCAACTAAAATAAACAACTCTATCTTAAATGGAGTTTTCCTTAAACCACTAATATTTCTTGAGCCGTAAATCTACTGTACATTCATTTAGATCTGTAAATTACATCTCCTGCCACACTGTCTTACACAGAAAAGGTGTTGGGAATATAAGTAGATTAGTCAGCAAGGCAGGCGTTAATTGGCCTTTTTACTCAGTATGAGAGTTCTAAATGGCTTCCATCTATTATTAAACCAAATTCTTACCTTTCCAACTTTGGCTAGTTGACTGTAATTCTATCTTTTTTGCTTTAGGGGACTTACATAAAACAATGCAAAACATTTTCAAACAGAGACTCAAAAATTGGAGGTTACCCTTCCTTCCTTCAATAAGTTTTTATTGATGGCCATGAATATCAAAAAGATGATCAAGCTGATATATTTTCTGCCTTGGGTTGTCCAAACACCCAGGTGAACATATTTGTGAGCCCAGCATTCTGTTTTGCTTGCATTCCTGATGAGCTTCCAAGAAACTCTTATAAGCTGGGAACTTGATGAATAACTAATCAAGAAAATGCAATGCACAAATGTGGAGGAAAGGTTTATAGCTGCACAGTCTCTTGCAATGAAGTAAATGCCAGATAAAGACGCATGCCCAGAGGCGTCATGGAAACACCAATCAAAGACTTAGGAGGCTGAAGATTTCATCATTCATGTAACATTTATTGAGCATTTACATTGTGCAAGGCAGTTAGTGGAATTAAATACAGAGAGATTTACTGTATAGATGTGTATACATATAATATATTATATACACACAAAATTTTGGAAAATTCCAGGTATCCCCACGTCAAGATGATACAATCACTTTGAACTATATACCTTTTCCATAATAAAGTCCGTATTGCAAAAAATTCCATTAATGATTAGTTTAGAAACACCCAGTTACTGACAGTGCCCATTGCTACTCCGTGGGAGATGTAAGAGCATTGTCTCAGTAATAAAATATGATGTTATCAGACATTTATGGCTCATAGGGGAAAAAATGCAATTGCTTGCTGTTTTGATATTATCTCTGACTACACAGGCTTTTAATCTGACTTTTCTATATTTAGTATCCATTTTAAAGTAAAAAAAAAAAACACCCAAACCAAAAATCAAGGTCGCATTGCAACAACAAACCAATCTTTGTGAATACGAATCCTGGGGGCTACTATTTGCCATTTAAAGGAAATAAATCATGGTGAGGGGATAATCTGAAATTTTGGAAATTCGAAGGCCACTTTAAGAGTTGAGATGGGGTGGGAAGGTTGAATAAACCACCATTCACCATTCTTCAGGCATCTCGAAACTCAATCTAAACATTTCAATGAAAAAGAAGATGGGAGGCGACCTGGGTCACATCTCAATTTTTTGTTTGTTGTTTGTATTTTCAGTAGATGTAAAAATTGAGCCAAACTGTCCCACTGAAAAGACCTTCAACCCCGGCTTGAGCGGGTATCAACCTTACAAGAGTAATTTTTGGAGCACACTACCAAATACGCTCGTTACACAACTTTTACGGAAGCTCCCAGTTTTTAATAAGCATACAATTATTTTTCTTTTTCTCTCCAAGGACTCAGATAGCTGGAGCGAGGATGGGTCCCCCTCTGATTTCGTCCACGATCCAGCCAATCTGAGCCCGGATGCTAATTAGTTGCGCTCCCTCGATGAACACGCCTTTGTCGCATGTAGGGACGGACTACAAAGCCCAGAATGCCTCGCCCCTCCCTGATCAATGAGGGCTTATTTAAATGATCTCTGAGGTCTTGGACCCAGGCCAATCAGCTGTCAGGGCTCATGATAAATCGCAATGCATTATTGATAATAATAATTACTGGGACATGCGCGTTCCGGCCGAAGGGGGGTAAATTTCCCAACTCCAGGAATTTGTGGCGGAGTGGGCAAATAACCGCGGCTCTCCCGGCGCCCCGATGCTCGCACCATGTCGAGGCGCAAGCAGGCGAAACCCCAACACATCAACTCGGAGGAGGACCAGGGCGAGCAGCGGCCGCAGCAGCCGGCCCCGGAGTTTGCAGATGCGGCCCCAGCGGCGCCGGCGGCGGGGGAGCCGGGTGAGTGGGGCTGGGGGCGCACGCCCGGGGCGGGCAGTTTCCCGGACGTTCGCGGGACCCTCGAAGGCGCGGGCTTCGGGGAGCTAGCGGCTTCCAGCGCAGATTCTCGCACTGAGATCTGGGGGCTCAGTTCCAGAGAAGGAAGGCAGCCTCATTCCCCCCCACCCCCAGCCCCGTGCTTGTTAATGTTACACTTTTAGCGCTCCGCTTCCCCTGTCTCGTGTAAGTTTCACCCCCCGTCTCTCTCCCCTTATTGTGAAATTGACCCCCACCCTCTCCTTCGTCCCTCTCATTCCTGAAAGGTTCCCTTCTCCTTGTCCTGTGCCCCTCTCTTAATTGGTTCCACTCCCCTCACTAGTAACCTCCCCCCACTTGTAACTTAGGTTCCCCTCCTCCCTCCCTGGCGCCGCTTTTAAAAGAAAGACCCCGGGGGTCCCCACCCTTTCCCTCACCCCTTGGGGGTTTTCCAGGAGGCTGGAGAAGGGGTGCACCCCTGGAAGACCCCCTCGGGGGAGGGCGATCTGTTGCGCGCGCCCCTCCCGGGCCAAGCGGGGGGAGGGGGCGCGACCTCTCCCCACCCCCGGGAGCTGGGGTGCGGGCCACCCGCGCTGCGGAGGGGATTGCAGGGCCTGAGGAGGTGGGAGAGAACGGCACAATATTTCCCTTTCTTAAAATTTCTTTTTTGGTTTTCGCTTTTTTTCCCTCGGCTACGCCGCCTGCCGATCTTCGCCCTAACCTTTCGGGGCCTGACCTCCAGCCATCTTTGATTTCCGACTTCCTAAAAATAACCGCGGCGAGCCGGAGGGGTGCGGGCCCCTGGGGGCCGGGGTCGCGGGCGCGCGGCAGCCCCGCTGAGGTGCACGGGCCTGGCGTTTTGCTGGGGCGCCCGGCTTTCCAAAGGCGCGCCCCGGGGGCGGGAGGGGCGAGGTCGGGCCAGGGCTGGGCGGTCGCGGCCAGGGCGAGCTCCCGGGGCTGACCCGGCCCACGCTTCCGCGGCGAGTGTCTCCGGGGTCGGGAGGAGTTCGGGACCCCAGCCCGGCCGGGAGCGGCGGGGCAAACCCCCCTCCTCCTAATCACTTAACCCAGGAGGTTTTAGGAGCGAGTCGATTTCCCACTATCTCCCCTCCGTCCTGGCCCGCCAAATTGTCGCCCGATAAGTTTTTAGCGTACGTGGGGGGGGAGGGGGCGTTTTTAACCTCCTTTTGGGCCTTGTGGGGTCGCTTCCCCTCCCCTCCCTGCCTGCTTTCTCATATCACCGCAGATGAGGGTGTGCGCGGCAACCCCAGACACTCTGAGCCACAACTCCGATGGGAAGACGGTCGCTACTTTTGGCTACCGTACTCTCCCCTTTTTTTCAGGGAGGGAATGTAACAAATTTCCCAAATTTATAATACGTTAATATAAACCCCTATTTTCCCCCAAATAACATTTTTCCAGGGCAAATTAAAGAGATCAGCTTGACCGAGGGGGCAGCTGTGCGTTTTCGGGGCGTCTGATGGTCAGGGCAGCGCGCACCCGAGGTCCCCGGAGGACGGACTCTCTTTGTGCCGTGGGGGGTGAGGGGAGCATGGAGAGGCTTCGTCGTCTGGTCCACCTGGAACAAAAGGGTTAACCCTCCACCCGCCCGCTTCCTCCCGAAGGAGGGGCGAACTCCTGGCTCTGACCCCTCCCCTGGTCCTGCTCTGACCTCCCCTTCCCCCTTCATTTTGGGTGGGCGCACACAAGTGGGGCTTTTGGTGGTGTTTGGCACCTTTAGGGGGAGCTTGTTACAGGAGGGCTTCTTAAATTAAGGCTGGCTGGAGTTTGCAGTTAGTTAACCCGAGCTAGGCTAGGATCTCAGGCCTGGCTGTGCGCTCCCTCCACGATTTGGGAGGGGGTGGGTTCGCTATTGATCGCTTGGGTTGGAGCGGACAGCCGAGTTGCGCGCGGGCGCCCCCTGGAGGCCCAGCCTGGTGTCGCGCCCTTTGCTGAGAGGCGGGTCCCCTCGCGGGTACCGGCTCACACCTGATGGGTGGGACGGATTGGGGAGGGGAATTTAGAGCGCGGGACTGGGCCAAGGATGGGCGCCCCTGGGGACTCCAGCCAGTTGCCTGCGCGGTCCTTGGCTGTGCCCAGTATTGTTGGCCAAGTCTTTGGAATTCTTAGAAAGAATTCCTTGATCCTAGAATATGTTTTCAGAATCTCCAGTTGCAAACATGGAACAGAAGGTAGTTTTCCCAAGCAGTACGTTTTAATGACTGCATTTTACATTTGAGCAGCCTGAATATATACACGTATATATATAATCTCGATATGAATAATGTTTTTGAAAATTAAGATTGGGCTGGTCTTATTTTACAAAGCTAATTTGAGACCCAGTTGTAAAGAATGCAGTTTTTGAGCGAGGAAAATGAAGTCCGGCCATCAATTAGCAGATCAAAAAATCTGCAGCTGGTCGGTGGGCTCACGCTACATACAGGAAAATTAGCATTTTCTCAAAAGAGTTCCAAATGCCCTTTGTGCTAAACTGGATTACAACCATCAACGATTAAGATTCCCAAGTTTCAAATAACTGCCTAGCCCCAGTTTCTAAACTGAAATGACCTACACTGGCTGTAAGGATTCTGAGAATAGGGCCCTTGGAAGCTCCCATTTTAAGTGAGGGAGAGGGAAATCTTGTTGGTAGTAGCATTCGTTCACGTTGCAGGCCAACTTTCTGTGTTTTGATCTGAGTTTAGAAAAGAGAGAGGGGCTACGCTCGCCCACAGGCCCTTTTGTTTCGTTAAAAATAAATTGTGATCCTTGGTCATTCAAGCCTCTGCTAGCTTCCTCACCGGTGGGGAGTTGGGGAGCCATCTTGGGAGGCAGGAGATAGAGTTAGCACTTCCTCTTTTAAATGAAGTTAAGCTTTTTTGTAAAGGTTTAGAGTAAGATGTGCATTCCAGTCTGGTTCTATGACTTTCAGTAGTGTAACCTTGAGACCCACTGATTTATTTCCCTGAGCTTTTGGGTTCTTTATCACCCTATACAGTGGTGATAAAGCTTATCTTGTTTAGATAATTTCAACTGTAGAATGCCCACTGTGTGCTGGGAGTGTGATCAGTAATTAATTTCATTCAAAATAACGATGTTTTCATTTTTATTTACTTATTGTGTCAAAATGGTGCTGAGCCGCCAATAATTCTGCAGTTTTATCTGCAGCCTGCTGTGTGCCAGACCCCAGGCTGGGGGCCTCAAACACATGATCTTTAATTCTCATTTTTACTCATTTTAGAGTAAACTCCAGCTCCAGGTTGAAGTGACTTACCTTGTTCTGTTTGAGTTTTAGCCTTGCTCTGCATCTGGGGTTTGTGTTTATCATGGTCTTAGAGGAGCTGCTTATGGGATGGGATTTTCTGTCAGTTCCTTCATTGAGGGAGCCATGGTGAGTGAGTGGCTGGTTTGATGATCTCTCCTCCCCTTTAATTTTTGAGATGCATTTTTGCAGGCTTTAGAGTAAGAGGTCCCTGGGAAGCAAGGTGGGAATAAGGCAGTTTGCATTTGATCCCTTGGACCTTGGAACAATGATGGGGAAGAGAGTTCAAGAAGTTCCCTTTTCATCATCCTTAACCTATTGTACTTTTGATTTTTTTAAAAAGCATCTAAACGATTTTCAAAGCCTCTAAATCCAGACAAGAACTGGACAAGAACTCCAGTCAGCGCAGTTCATTTTTTTCAAATAAATTTCGTGTCTATGTCAGGCTTTGTTCTAGGAGACTCTGGAGGAGGCAGCAGAAGCCCCTGCCTGCATGGAGTTTACAAATTTGCTTACAGGATGAGCTCCTGTTGAGGCAGAATGGGCTGTGTCTCGAAGGTAAACAGCAGAGCTCACACACCTTTGCAGCTCTACAGCCTTCTTTGATTTTTTTATTCTTTTTTTTTTTTTTCCTTTTCAGTAGATTCCCTGAATTTTAATCCAAGACTTTGGAAAAATTCTTTAGCTCATAATAAAGTAGAAACTTAGTTACAGCTCTGATGTACCATCTACGAATTGAGTTAAAGGCTTGTTACTTAAGTGTTTCTCAGATTGCTGAAGTCAAATGTAAAATTAAACTGGTAAAGGGCACTTTCTTTCTACTGGTTCCATACTTAAGGACATCTCAATTTCCTTTTATTTTTGGTAAGCAATTATACTGTGGGTAGGGGGAGTACTTTAGATAATCTACTCATTGTAGTTCTTTTCATATAGGAATGGGAAAAAAAGATAAGCTGGAGGCATAATGCTTTTCTCAAGATTATACAGGTTTTATTTTTTGAGCATTTTCGAGTCTCCAGAATTTGATTGGCCTCTAGTAGATGAGCTTTTCTTCCTGTACAATAGTAAGAGTATTTTCTATCCATTTGGCAGTGATTGAATCTAAGACCCCTGCTGGGTTTACTGCATTCTTCCAACTTATTGGATAACTAGATGCTGAGAGATAACATTCCTAAAATTCGGAGTGGGGGTGGGGTGGAAGGAGGGAAGAACTAGTTGCTGTGTAATCCCTCTGAACTTTGATTTTTCCTTTTGGGAAGGGTTAACTTAAGCATACCCAACAATTGTTCGTAAGAGTCCTCTTACTCTTTGGCAAATACGGTTTCAGTATTTGCCAATGGTGGTCTGGATGTAGGAGTACTTTTTACTGCGCGAGCAAACAGAGCTCCTGCTGTTTTAAGACTCAAGTGCGATGTTGCCTGAATTGCTGGGAGGCTACAGAAGAGGCAAGCCTGTGTATACAGTGAAGGCAAGCTGGTATTCAGGTTGTAAATCACTCTTGGGAACTGTTGGATCCTTCTAGAGCAGAGGAGCTTAACCTTTTTTGTGCCATAGACCCCCCCAACAGAATGTATTTAAATGCGTAAAGTAAAATACGTACATAGAATACCAGGGAAATAAATTTCATTGAAATATGGTTACCGAAACTGAAAACGTTTGTGAGATACATGTGCTTCTTTATGAACACAATAAATAAGATCTAGCAGCCAGTCAGGTAACCACCAGA